AGAGCCCAAACCGGAGGTTAATATTCCCTTAATTTATCCGACTGTGTCTTCGCTTGTTGACGTGTATCTCCATTTCTTATGTTACCCAATTATGCCTCTTGTACACTGTCGGATGAAAGTAGTTTTGACAACCCGTCTATGTATAGAAATCCTGGTCATTGATTGGAAAAGTGTTGTTACTCATATGATGTCAAAGAAACTGTTAATCTTGATGTACATATAGCATAATCTATCATAAATCCCACGGCTATCTAGTATTCTTTATTTCCTTTAATTGTATTCATGGACGTAGCATTGCTCGGTAAAAATAAATAAAATACGGACAAATTAGAAATTTCGTTTGATGGTCTCACTAAATTGTTATTTCCCAATGCAAATTAATCTGCCTTCTAGCATTTCCCCTTTCTATTTTGTCTGTTAGTATTTGTTTTCATGACAAAATGACAGTAATGAAAGATTTTGAATTGTAGACAGCACATTTAAAAAATTTTGATTTTAATTTATAAAAAAAGTAAAAAGTTTGAGTATTGAAATTGCAGTTATTAAATTTTAATTTTGATATTTTTTTACTGTTTTTAACGGTAAATCTTACGAATCTTGACGATAGGGAATTTTCTGCACAAAATATTTCAAATATGAGGATTTTCTGCTATTTTCAATAGGTGTGGGGCATGTCACACACGAATACGTTTCTAGCGGGAATTTTTTGCTATTAATCATTTCCAAAATTAATCTGTCTTCTCGTATTTTCCCTTTTTATTTTGTCTTTTAATATTTGTTTTCAGGACTGATAACAGTAATGAAAATAGACATTTCAGAGGAGTTAATGCAAGAAAATACAATAGAATGAGAAGACGAATTTTCCTTCTCTTATACTGAACAAACAAAGAAAATGAAAACTTACAAGAGAAGCCATCACTTTCTTAGAAAAGACTAATCGAAAAAGGTAAATATTGTTTTTACAAATTATAATTATGGAAATTACATATTCGGGAATATTATTTGGACACCAATAATGCAAGTTTCTCTGACCTGAAATTATCAAAACTAAGAAATAATATAGTCATACAAAGATCAATTTGAATCTACGTTTCATTATGTATTCTGTACAAAAACTACCTCCAAATTGCTTATCATAGTGTGAATCAAAATTGATACCATACCGGAATAAGCACTTAGCATTTGATTTGGAACATTATATCTTTCATGTGCTTTTTCAGTGCACAGTATTGAATAAGTCTGGATACTGTAACAAACAAAATTGAATAATGCTAGTGGCATATCAAAAGATATACCTAAGGCGTTACACTCCCCTCATGAGACCCACTTGCATAAAATGTTTTTTTTTTATTATTTAAGTGGGTCCCACCCCAGTATGAGGGGGTGTAATCCCTTAGGTACACCCCAATCTACCAGCTACAAAACCTAACAAAATTTAGTTTATAAATTAAAATTGCAACACCAAAAAAACTTAAAATATAACAAACACAATTATTTAAAGTTGACACGAAATATATTACAACAACCACATATATTCATTGCTCTAGTACTATAAAGAAAACGATACATAATCGATCTTTATGTGAAGAACATACAAATTTTGAGAATTAAATTGCAACATTATTTCAACTTCGTAATATAATAATATCTAAATTATATATATATTATTGTAGTGTTTCTGTTAATTGCACTATTTTTCTAATATTTATTAATGAATTCAATATTTTCATTAATTTAACATAAGTATTTATTTAGTAATTTATGTATTTGTTAAATAAATAAAGAAATAATTTTTCAAATAAATAAATTATTAAGAAGAAAAAAAGAGAAGAGAATGATTAAACACTATTTATTTGGTGTAATGGGAGAAGATGATTTTTAGTTTGGTGCAAAATTTGGTGTAAAATGGTGTAAATCTTACCTCAAATTTTGTTGTAGGGTTGGAAATGACCTTATAGAAGTTTCAAGGTCGAGCAAATGGCCGAGCACTTTGGACATGTTTTGGTATGCTAATTTTAACCAAAAAAAAAAAGGATGTGCATTCTTGAGCCAATTATTAATGTTGGAAATTAACGGGCAGTTTTCTCCTACCATTTATCCACTTCACAAAATATATTTTAAGAAAAGGATATTGTCACCCGAAAATATAAAGAAAATGACATTGTGTAAGGTCACAAATGTATCATAAATATAGATTACTCCAAAAAAATATTTATTATTGTTTTTTATTTCAATTTTGTGAAGTTTTTAACTTAAATTTTGAAGAATAGATCTATGAGCTGGAGCATTCTTCATAATTTTGAATTTAAATTACTTTTACTCGAGCAATATTGGACACCAATAATGCAAGTTTCTCTGACCTGAAATTATCAAAACTAAGAAATAATATAGTCATACAAAGATCAATTTGAATCTACGTTTCATTATGTATTCTGCACAAAAACTACCTCCAAATTGCTTATCATAGTGTGAATCAAAATTGATACCATACCGGAATAAGCACTTAGCATTTGATTTGGAACATTATATCTTTCATGTGCTTTTTCACTGCATAGTATTTAATAAGTCTGGATACTGTAACAAACAAAATTGAATAATGCTAGTGGTACATCAAAAGATGTACCTAAGGCGTTACACTCCCCTCATGGGACCCACTTGCATAAAATATTTTTTTTATTTAAGTGGGTCTCACCCCAGTATGAGGGTGTGTAATCCATTAGGTACACCCTTATCTACCAGCTGCAAAACCTAACAAAATTTAGTTTATCTTTTCATTAATATCATCCATTGTTTATCAATCTTCCATGGAAAATTTGTCAATCTTTGCACGTGATCTAGTCTCGATACGAATAAATTTTTCTTTTGCAATGAATGTTAAATCCTTAATGTCCCCTCTAATTAATCCCCTTTACTTTTGCCTTTTTAAATGATAAAGCAGTAGAGATATATATGTCAATTTTTTGTGACACAAGTGATTTTAACCTGAAATTATTAAAGTAATAAATTGCTATCCTATTCCTAAGTATAGCCAGTTGTATTGACAAGTTTGGCTTTGGCCAATTGGGTACACTTACAGATAACTGATTCAATTGTCTCAAATATTATGAACTAAATTAAATTGGTGGGTCACCTCTCATTGATTAAATTGTTCTCTTTTTGGTGAATTGATTGGATTTTTACCCATGGAAATATGTTAAGAGATGGAGGAACAAGACAGACAAAGAAGCCAAGAATCTAATCATAACATATTAATTAGAGAAGTGTTTCTCTAAAGAAATTTATAGTCTTTAATATTTCCTCTTCTTTTGACTTTAGTCCCAATTTGTTTTAATTAAAAAAATTAATAAAAATTTCAGTTAAAGTTAAGGATCATCAACTTTTATCAATTTTTCAACACTATTTTCATCAATTTTAAAACTTACTAAAAATTTAATTTAGCCTATAATTTATTAAAAATATGAATTAATTTGAAATGCTATTGTTTTCAAAAAATAAAATTTGAAATAATATTACCTATGAATAATTATTCTTTTAGTAATTTATTCATACTTTAAATTTTTTTAAAAAAACTCATAAAGTATGTATAGCCATTATGTGGTAGGGATTAAAGTCAAATTTTTAGTAGATTTTGATAAAAATTGATGAAATGTGACCGTTATTTATCACATCAACATTTAAATTTAAATTTGAATTTTCTATCTCTTATGTGAACCCCAATAACGGCTATATTTTTCATTTTCATTCTACAATAATTTGGCTCAAACAAAGCCTTAAAGTCTTGTTTTGGCTGAATACGTTTTTCTTAATGAAGCGTCTTTTATGAGACGTCGACACGTGTGTTTATCTCTGGCCCTTTGATTATTGCATTGATGGTGTGACATATATATACATGCACCGTGCAAATATTTTTCATTCTGGTTCTGCCTTTTGAGTTCTTCCGTCTTTTGGGTTCTTCTGAGAGTAACATATTCTTATAGGTTAGGGTTTGTCTTTTGTGTTCTTCATCTCTCATGATGAACTTGTAAACTGAGATCATTAGTTGATAGCATCTGTAATCTGTATATCTGAGGGATTACTGTGAGTATAAGGGCTTTCTTGCAGTCGAGTTTTTCAGTTGGCTATTGTGGGGTTTCTTGTGTGATTCCTTAATGATCTGCAGTTTTTTGTAGAAGAGATAAATGTCGTGTACTTTTCTCGTGTTGGAAGAACAATTTGTAACTTGTTACCATTTTTGGGTTTAATAGTGCATCCGAGCTGATATCCAATTTTTGAATGCTCAACGGGAGATGTAGGCGTTAGATCTGGACGTCGAACCTCCGGGGCTTAGGCCGAAATAATTATTTGTGCTCAATCTTTAATTTTCTGCAAGTTTACTTTCTGATTTATTGATATGTGTTGGAATCTTGTTTTAATATCATGTGTTGTGGGCCTTTTCAATGAATATTTGTTTGCAGTCAAACGAATGTGATAGGCCCGAGTTGGATTGTAGTGATTGACATTAAGAGCATGTTTGGTACGGCTCAAAATCCATAAGAGCATAAGTGGAAGAATAGATTTTTTAACTTATAAATAAAAAAAGTACTTATTTTGACATTAATGGCATGTTTGGTACGACTCAAAATCCAATTAAAATTGAAAATATAACCGTTATTGAGTCCTACTCATATAATTAAAATCAACAATAACGGCTAATTTTTCAATTTTAATCCGATTTTAACCTTTACCAAACACCTTCTAATTTATAAATCACATTCTTGATAAATAACTTATTTCTTACTTCAATGGGTTAAAACTTATTCGGAAACTCACTTTTAACTCATGCACAGTATCATAGCGTTAGTTTTAATGTCTACACCATGCATCTAAGTTTAACATCTGTCTAGGAATTTGTTCTCCCATACACATTTGGGATTGGACGTCAAATGAAAAAGAAAAAAAAAAAAAATCTGATCTCATTTGGATGGTTGAAAATGTCCACTGATTTTGCTTCATTATGTCCTTTATTCATCCACAGCCACCATCTCCTGCTCTTCATCACAATTAGATACTTGGGAACAACATCCAATTTCTAATTTCTTGTAACCTGGATAGATTCATTCAAAAAAAAATACTATCATGAGTCAACATAAAACGTTAAGCTAACTCGACTAAAAGGTTAAATTATTTTAGACACGTCCCTACGTGCTGTCGTAAGTCATATTGTCTTTTTAATTATCATAATGTTTGACAAGGATATTTTTGTATAAAGTTTGGACAGTGATTGAGTGCTCACCAATGCATGCTTGTAGGGCAGCTATTGATTTTATTCTTTAATGAAATGAACACAAGTTGTTGCTGAACCCTGTCTCACTAATAAATGTTTGTCTTTGCTCATCCACATCCCATAAGAGCTGTCCATTACCCTGAAAACGATAATTTTGTATATTGTTAGACGGAATATGAATACTTATTTTATCAAATTAGGAGCGCCACAGATTCTGACCTTTAAGGATTAAGCCATAATTCTAATTTGGAGAGCAATAGTTAATGCAAAGAAAACGATACATACACATTCATAACCACAGATAATGAAAAGTTGTGGATGAATGTGCGGTTAAAATGAATTGTTAACTTTGACTTAAATTTTAATTAGAATTTCTAGGTGAACCGAAAAGGAGCTATAGTATATATAATTAGGTTCTCTGCAATGCAGCGTGATAGGATGAGGAGAATTCCGTTAAGATTTCATTCTTGAACAAAAAATTATTTTTGTCTATTTCCAGGACCTCGACAGAAAGGAGAATTATAAACGTTAAGAATATATCTGTAGTCACAAATTTAAAAATATTAATAAATATGTACCTGTGGGAGAGTATTTGTCATATGAGTTTGTTGAGATAGAAGGGGAGATGAACTACTACTATCCAGGAGAGAATAATAGCAATTTGGTAATGTCGACAAGCACGTGTTTGTCTCATGAATGATTGGTGGTTGTGTAGGGCTGCATTGTTGCACAGTTGGCAGCTGTGATGCCAAGCTATTTAAACTCTGAATAATATTCACATTAATTAAACAGAAAACAAGAAATTAGAGAAAATTATTGATAAAACAAAAGTATACATGGAATGTTTGATAAGGAACCTTAATCCTGTCAAGTACTGTTGATTCCTTGTGACTGTACCTGATCAGGTCTAACCATGAAAGCATCAAAGTCCATGCCAAAGTCATAGAATATGGGATTCACAGAAGCAAGCTTCATCGAGAGAAACTGAAATTAAAATGGGAAACATTTCACTTTATAGAAAAAGTACAAACACAAAAAGGGGGAAAAGGTAGAAAAAGAAAAAGAAAAGATTAACCTCCACTTGATTTTGCAGGGACTGGACATAGTTGATAATTTCATCCAACATGAGGGCCTTTCCAGTTATCTGTTTCTCAATCAAGCCACGTGAAGCTGTCAGGAAAAAAAAAACCCTACCAAATACCAATTATTTTTATGTTTGAGATTATTGATAATAAGTGCTTAAGTTTTCACCTTGTCACAACCAGGAACAAGAGCTTGGAGTGCCTTCATTCTTTCACTTATTTTCTCCCTCCTCACCTGAATTCATTTGAAAAACTAAATTATAGTTATCCATAATAAATAATATTTTAACTTATTTTTCTTTTGTAAGACTATTCTGTGTTGTACAGTCTTCATTACCGAACAAGATACGAGAAGTTTTAAGGATTAACGAACAGTATACCCTTTCTGCAAGGCTGTGGCTATCAGTTGCCTGACCCCTTCTTGCTCTTACATGAATATAGCCTTTTGGATCTTCTTCAGATGCTTTCTTCTCTTCTCCAGGCTGCTTCTTATCTACAGCATTCTTTTGCTTCTTTCCTTTCACTTCTCTCATATCCTAATTACCAAAATAATTTTAAAATATTTTTTTATAATAAACGTGCAGCATAATCTATAAACTTTAGGACTTAATGCGTAGTGTTTTAACCTTGGATTGAGTAGAATTTGATGAAGATGTCATTGATTTTCGTTTTCTCTTCTTCTTCTCCGCTACCTTCTGAGAGATTTGTTGATCACTACTCTCATATTTATCAGAAACTGAAGAAGAGTCCATACCGTTCTTGTTTTTTATGCTCATCAAAGAATTAGATTCATTATTGCTCAGAGAAACTTTTGTACTCTGGTCAAGGCATCTACTTTGAAGAACACCAATATTGGCAGGGACAGTATCCTGACGAAATTTAGTGGTATTGGCATTGTTTAGTTGTTCACAAATCTTAATGATGGAAGAGCTTGGTTGCAGAACAACTGAGTCAATAAGAAAAGGGTAGTGCTGATTATATGATGAAAAGGCTGCCATTTTTTGTGTGCTTTGGAATTCAAAATAAATGCTTTAGAAAGTGATGGAAGAGAGATTTAGAAGGTGGGGGTGAACCTGAGGGAAATTTTAGGTATATATAAACATGACGAAGAGAGAGAGTACATACAAAATTTGCTAAAATCTTTTATTACCCTCATCCCCATGCATTTGCTTTACATTTGACTGGTCTTTTCACACACAGATACACACTGTAGGTGCATGAATACTAGACGGGATGGAGAAGGTGGGGGTGGGGGGTATTGTTTCTTAAAGATCTTTCAGGTTTTATCTTCAGACAAGTCTATGACATTTTTACCGAGGAGTTATTCCTTGATGTACATCAAGTTTGGCACCATTCATAACAAACGTTATGTGAGTTGACAACTTTTTATACGTTGATTTTAATAACATTCTTTTCAATTAATGGTCTGATTTTCTACCCATAGGAGAATGTCATCTAGAGGTGGCAACTGAGTCAAGCGACTCGTCAAAAAACTAGCCACGAGCTCGGCTCGTGATTGCCACCATTAACGCCATCCATGATGTCAATGGGGAATGTACAAATAGATTAATCCGTTAATTAATCCATATGCAATAACAAAAAATTACAGTTGATGACAGTTACTTATTTCAGTCCTTCAATTCAATGAAGCAGATGTCTCTGCAGTAAAAACGTTTTCAGGGATCTGATATCACTCAAGGACATAGCAACGTTATTACCAATGTTTTTCATGTGGCGCATTTTGACTAGGAACAAAATAATGAAATTTTGTCAAAGTTATTAATAATATTTTTTTATTCAATTAAATATTAATTACAATCATACATTCATAACTACTATTAAAGGTGTGGATGGATTGGGATACAACCAGACCATCGAGCCAACCTTCTACAAACCGAATTGATCCTAACTAAACATATTTGAATTAAATCGGTTCGATCGGTAGAAGTTTTCCCACACCCATAATAGGCCATTCTAAATCACCACCACCACATAAAAAAAGGGCAAAACCACCAGCAACCCGAACCCATTCCAATCCCCAAACCACCACCGCAAAAAAGCAACAATCAATCCACCAGCCACCAAAAACCATCACAACCACGACTCCATAGCATCCATTTTGCTGAAATGAAACTCAGAAATAAATGAGTAGATTGGGTGGTACCTGGTGCGTTGATGGTGGACCTTGAGGTCTGTGGCGACTGTACATTGGGTTTTGGCCCACCCTAACTAGCACTATCCATTTATTATCTAAACACATTTCGTGAAATTCAGTATTATTACTGCTAAAAAAGTTACTAATATTTTTAGATGAACATAACACATATATCAATACTTATGTGTATATATTTTCTATTTAATTTTTTGTCATACACGACTAGTTTTTGTTCAACTACATCGATAGGTTTGGACCACGTTTCATGAAGATACCAGAAAAAAGAGCATTTAGAAGAAAATATGCTGCATATGTCAAATCAATTTACCTGCATAATTCAGAATATAGATCACATACATCATTACATTACTACCTGGAGAAAATAGCACAAAATTCATCATGTTTAATAAGCAATATTATTCCATAATATAATAATAATAATAATTTTTAACTTTTATATTCTTATTTAAATTTCTCATAAATTAGTTGTAGATGGCATCCCTTTATATATAAGAAATCTGACCAGCAATCTGAAAGAATGTGTTTAAAATTAATGATCATGATTTTTGTCACATTAAATAATATCAAACTTAATGTCATTTATAATGTACATGTAGTGAAGGTGCTGAAAAATAGTCATTGTCGCCGGACCACACTATTTTATTGCAATGGTTAACAATGAATAGTAGTGCCAACTGCCAAACTTTTGTTATGCTCTCATGATTAGACAGATTTTGTATATGTTGTAATTAAAAGCAATTTGGAGACTTTGTTATGTTTCAAAATTGATATATCCTGCAAATCTTTCCATCTTAATCACGAAATATTTTTGACGGTTCTGATGCATCTTTTAACGCGGTGGAGGAAATGTTGATTTGTTGCGCTTTAAAAGATAAGTACCCGTGATTGAGAATATGTGATGAATAATGTTATTCATAGTGAAGACTACCGATAGTATCCCTACATGAAATATATGTGACAAATTGTCAAATGTATGCCATGTAGGTCGACCACTAATGTTCTTCACTATGCATATCTTCAATGTATCTTTGTTATCATATTATTAAATTCAATTTTGTTGAAAGTTTGACATGTACATAATATTTGAAAATATCTTTACGTTGTTAAAATTGTTAGTATGCGGGTGCAAAGTGATATTTTGCTTTTACAAGAGAGAACATTCTGTTGCAAACCTTCGTTTTTCTCATGAACATGAAATTTCCTTCACTAGATATTAATGTACCAAGAGGAATTTGTGCCATACAAATTTGAGTTCAAAAGGCATCCATAAATTGTTAGTATCGTGATAATTAAAAAAGGGTTTACATATTAAATCAAAGGGATTTCTCCAATATATAATAGAGAATAATTCGTCTACTAGGTCCGTTTAATGTATTCTAAAATATATCATTTTTCTTTTTTTTCTAGATATAAAATTTAAATAAGAACAATACAATCTTATCAAGATAAAGTGCCCAACTTTACCCACAATTGTGAACGATAACTTGTTTTATCACGTTACAAATTATAACTAACCATGTTATGTTTATATTTTGTATTGACGATTTTGTGAACAAATTGACCAACTTGAACAATTATACAAGTTTATGGACTAAATTGTAAAGTTTCATAGCTTGTAGGTTAGCTTAGGGTTTGAGGTTTCATATTTGGAACAAGAAAGATTAACATCGATTTTTCGCTAGCTGCTCGCCGGAGTGATGTTCGAGTGACTGAAACAGAAACTGTCTCGCTCAACTTTCGCCCCACTGTCGCTCGAGCGAAGCAGCCTTCTCGCTCGAGCGACGTATTATTTGGCCGACCTAATTTTCTATTTTCGAGACTTTTACTTAGCCCATACAACTTATTTCGTCCCACCTATATATTGAGGCGCCGCACTTCCTAAGAACATAAGATTGAACATCATATTATTCAGAGAGAATACATGCTTTACAAGAATCAAAGTTCAATCCTTCCATGGTTCATGCGACAATCATTGTGAAAACATCAAAGAGCCAAATCAAACACTGGATTGCATTCTTCGTTTGGGTCTACTGCAAGATTGTGTCGTCAATTGTGTTGCATTAAAGATTAAGGGAGAATCTGAAGAACAAGGAGTTCTTTAGGAAGATCTACAGGAAATAAATTGCGTAAAGAGTCAGGATTGGAGTTTGTGTGCTCATTCCAGGAGGACTGCTTTACAAAGAAGAGCCATGTTTGGTGTTCGTGTGCACATTCCAGGAGGGCTGCTTCTTACTTCAGACGGGAGATCAGAAAACTTGTGTTGTCAACTTTACTGGTGGTCTATAAGCGTATTATCAGTTTATAGTGTATCTTTAACTTGCAAAGCGCCCATTATTTTTCCCACATTGGGTTTCTCCGTGAACAATTTTGGTGTTATTTACTGTTTTATTTATTGTTTTAGATATAACTGCGGTATTCAAAGATAGGTTAAATTGGATTATTTGACTAATCACTTAAACATAATTAACTTGTGACATGTTGCTAGTTAATTAGATTGATAATTCCGCATAATCACCCCCTCTAGATGTAGTTGGATCTAATCTTGCGTTTCTCAAACCATACCCGACCAATCAAGTATATAATCATGGAGATTTAGATTAACAGTTAAATTAAATATACGAATAAATGATAGAATCTAATTATTATTTTAATGTCATATACATAAAGAATACTACTATTCAAACTAACATTTATTTAAGTTGGAACTCAAATAAAATGTCTATAATTAATTTTGAAAGATAAAAAATGATTTTATGAACATAGGCTCTTGTTTAAGTTCCATTCAAATATGAGATCTAAGTTAGTAATTTACCTTATAACTTTCAAAATAACAACGAGAGTTGAACATAAATACTTCAATATCGAAAAACATAACCCTCACCACACGCTAGTGGACCCGGTCATTCTTCGAAAGAGGCCCTTGCAAATAGGTTTTTGGTTTGGATGTTTCATGCAAGTTCTTGGAAGTAACAATTGTCACTGTTGAGCATATAGCATCTTCTTCAAAATCAATTCCAGATTTTCCATTGTTACAAAATCACATATATAATGATTCCTTGAAAGACAAGTTTTGTCTGAACCAAATTCGCAATTAATTCATTAATTACAATCTGATCTTTAATGGGGCGTAGGGATGTGAAATAAAAAAAAATGCTAAGTGTACATAATCCTTAGATGGGGTGGGCTCCACAAAAATGTGGGATCCACCCCATGTAAAGGTTATGGNAGAGCCAAATCAAACACTGGATTGCATTCTTCGTTTGGGTCTACTGCAAGATTGTGTCGTCAATTGTGTTGCATTAAAGATTAAGGGAGAATATGAAGAACAAGGAGTTCTTTAGGAAGATCTACAGGAAATAAACTGCGTAAAGAGTCAGGATTGGAGTTCGTGTGCTCATTCCAGGAGGACTGCTTTACAAAGAAGAGCCATGTTTGGTGTTCGTGTGCACATTTCAGGAAGGCTGCTTCTTACTTCAGACAGGAGATCAGAAAACTTGTATTGTCAACTTTACTGGTGGTCTATAAGCGTATTATCAGTTTATAGTGGATCTTTAACTTGCAAAGCGCCCATTATTTTTCCCACATTGGGTTTCTCCGTGAACAATTTTGGTGTTATTTACTACTTTATTTATTGTTTTAGATATAACTGCGGTATTCAAAGATAGGTTAAATTGGNGCTAAATTGGATTGTTTGACTAATCATCTAGACATAATTAACTTGTTATATGTTGCTAGTTAATTAGATTGATAATTTCGCATTTACACATAATCACCCCCTCTAGATGTAGTTGGATCGAATCTTGCGTTTCTCAAACCATACTCGACCAATCAAGTATATAATCATGGAGATTTAGATTAACAGTTAAATTAAATATACGAATAAATGATAGAATCTAATTATTATTTTAATGTCATATACATAAAGAATACTACTATTCAAACTAACATTTATTTAAGTTGGAACTCAAATAAAATGTCTATAATTAATTTTGAAAGATAAAAAATGATTTTATGAACATAGGCTCTTGTTTAAGTTCCATTCAAATATGAGATCTAAGTTAGTAATTTACCTTATAACTTTCAAAATAACAACGAGAGTTGAACATAAATACTTCAATATCGAAAAACATAACCCTCACCACACGCTAGTGGACCCGGTCATTCTTCGAAAGAGGCCCTTGCAAATAGGTTTTTGGTTTGGATGTTTCATGCAAGTTCTTGGAAGTAACAATTGTCACTGTTGAGCATATAGCATCTTCTTCAAAATCAATTCCAGATTTTCCATTGTTACAAAATCACATATATAATGATTCCTTGAAAGACAAGTTTTGTCTGAACCAAATTCGCAATTAATTCATTAATTACAATCTGATCTTTAATGGGGCGTAGGGATGTGAAATAAAAAAAAATGCTAAGTGTACATAATCCTTAGATGGGGTGGGCTCCACAAAAATGTGGGATCCACCCCATGTAAAGGTTATGGGCACCCCTATATACAATAATTATGTATACCAAGCAAAGTCCGTGAAACAATAGAAAAGACGCTGTATAAGCTTGTACTTGTCTGCAAGGGCGGAGGCAGTGGGGACTAAAAAAATTTCACTGAACTGATAAAATTTTTTTTTTTTCACCTTGAAAAATCAAAATGGACTTGCGGCAGCCCTGGGTGACCCCCTTCCGCCCTTGGCTGTCTGAAACTCCAATCTCCTCTCCAGCTACCGGAGAAAGAAGGGTCGACCCATTCGATGCCTAAATTAGCAACACGAAGATGAAAATTAATATTTTCTAATTCACTTTAAAGAAGTATGTTGACGATAAAATATAAAGAAATAATAATATATCGTTTAGTGATTAATTACTTGATCTATAAAATTCTAAAATGTGCAGCTTAAAATTAGACCAAATTTGTTCTAAATATTGAATATAAATATTGTATGTGTACTTACATGATAAACGTGGTGTATGAAAGTCTAGCTAATGGTCGGTCGTCGGTGCATGAATTCAATTACATTTCTACCTCGATCTGCCTATCAATGTCTGAAAATCTTATTAAGGTATCGACTTAAATATGGCAATTGATTGCAAATATATATATATATATATATATAGACTTGTCGGAACTCAATCAATTTGATTGAATGCACAACGCAGTAAGAAAAATTATTGATGTAATGAAAAATATTATTTTATTGAAAAATGTGTGGTTAAAAATGAGTTTTAAAATAATGAATTTCGAAAGAATGTGTGTCAAATATGGGCTTAATATGATTCACCCATTTCAAAGTTGATCGAGAGGTACGTCCTCCTTGTAAATTAAATTATCCAAAAGCTAAAGTGTAGGAAAAAAAAAATTCATTTGTTTAAATTTTATATTTAAAATGTTTCTCTACGTGCAGAACATATCATTGTTTTTTAATTCTTTAAAAGAATTTCGATGCTTACAATTTATGGGTACGAATAGAATTTTCCATCAACAAAATTCCAGAGACAAACATAAGTGCAGGAATGGAGAGGACTGGGTATGCCTGTACTAATAAGCGTGATCCATGGACAATAATTGAATTTTAAGATAAGAGTTTTCCATGTAAAACACGTTTCTTTGTCGATTTTACAACTGGGCCAATTTTTTGTTTTAAAGATGAATGCTGTCCGGACGGAAGATGGTAGCACGCTAGGGATGGCATTAAGTGACAACTCTTGTATGGAAACCAACCTAAAGTTACTAGGTTCAGTGCATATGCAGTGTATCTGTATGAAATTTCACTTTTGCTATATGTACATTATGGATGATATTAAGTTTGATGTGACAGTGATCATGATCATTGATTTTAAACACACTCATTTAGATTACTGGTCAAATTTCTCCCACACAGGATGGTGTCATCCACAATATACATATATATTAATTCATTTTTCAAGCTTTTAAAGTTTAAGCATACATAGATATTGCCTTGACATAAAGCGTAGCTAGATAGGAAGATCAAATTTGATGTCATAACTAATGCTTGAAAAAAGGCAATGGATGAGATCATTCGATTATCGAGTAAGAGAAAGTGTATATTAACTTTGAATAGTTACCTGATTTTGGAGAGAAGATCGAGTAATGCCCTCGTCAACTTCAATTTTGTCGGTACAACTTTAATACCATCAAGGTTTTCAAAAAACATAAAAATAAAAAATACACTTGCAAGTAATTTTTTTCAAAAATGGGGAAGATTAATTTTTTTTTTTAAAGTATAAAATAATCAATATATTGATGCTAATGAAAAATGGTATATAACTAAAGTCGACTTGTAATATCAATTATATGTTACTTGTCATACAAGGTTCTCTATTCTTCTCTTCAAGCTTGCATCGTTCTCTAGTTTTACGAGAGTTCAATGTTACTCTAAATTTTTATTTTAATTAAAACACTTTTGATAGTTCAAGATGAGAGACGGGGAAAAGAAGGTTTTCGAATTATCACAACAAAATAAGAGACAAATTATATTTGGATACTTTTGTTTTGTCTTTAGAATGATTTATTTTTCATTAATGTTATAGACTGTTATTGAACTTCGATAATCGATAGGTGGTTTGGGCCGAGCAGCTCAAGGTCAATTAATTGGGCCGAGTAAGGGTGTTGGGCAGTGAGTGGACCGTGATATTATGCAGGCAAGGAGTTAGTTTTTTCATTGGGAAAAATTCAAAACTAAGATGTTTAGTTTTACCCATTTCAAATTTAAGACATCAAGTTTAAAATTTCAAATTTCAGATTTTTTGAAGTTTAAAATTTCAAGTCTCAGATTTTTTTTAAAATTTAATTAATTAATTAAACATATATTTTATTAATTAAATATATTAAGGTCACAAATTCTATATAATTGGTCGCAAATCAAAAATTTTATAAGTCACAAATTATTTTACGGTTACAATTCAGAAATTTTATAAGTCACAATTTGTTCATCGATCACAAATAAAAAAATTTATATGTCACAACTTATATATCGGTCACAAATCACAAATATTATAAGTTACAAATTGTCAAATATCGATCACAAATTAGCAATTTTTAGGTCACATTATTTCTTGGTCACAGTTTATATTTTTCATTAGTCACATATTGTTCATCAGTCACAAACTAATGAATTTAATGGTCACAAACGACCAAATAATCTGTGGCCACCACCAAAACTTGTGACCATCACCTCATCATTGCCACCAACAGCATGACAACTAAACTCTCGTCTCCGGAACTACCACCACCACCACCACCTCTCGACAACAAACCATCATCTAAAAATACCACGACCACAACTACCTACCCATAACCACTGCACCACCATCGCCAACAGTAGCACAACCACCAATGCGGTCCCAACAACTTGGTCACATAAACATGTTAGGTCTCAACAAGACAACCTCTCAACTGCAATTTCTGATTAATTGGCTTGTAACTTCATTACTTCAATTAAGATTCCCGGGTTCAAATGGAAAGGACAGCGTACCACTTGTTCAGATCTATGGCCCAAAAATTAAATACGAAAGAGGTGCAGCTGTTTCATTCAATTTGAGGGACAGAAACCAGGGTATGATTAGTCCAGAAATTGTTCTGAGGATGGCTGAGTCACACGGTATATCTCTTGGTGTTGGCATCCTCAGTCACACCACCGCCAATCTCCATCATCGCACCATCACCACAGAGGCCATCTCTCACGCCAGCCAATTGCAAACATCACCACGACTACTACCAACATCACCACCACCACCGCGACCGCCAGCACCACCACCAACTACAAACATCGCCACCATTTCAAACCACAACCACCACATCCACCAAAAAATCTCCAAATACGTTCTCCTCGTCGCCACTGCACGCAACGGTGCTGCAAGAGGAGCAGATCGATGATGCAAAACTGCTGCGCTGTGACGAGGAGAGGGAGAGGCATCGTCGACTGCCTATGAGAAAGAAAAAGAGAGACGGGTTTAGAGATGCAATTATTAATGAATGAAATGTGATTTGAGTGAGATTTGGAGGGTGGAGATCGCCGAAAATGATGTTTTCAGGCAAATCTATCAGTTGTAGAAGAAAAGCACAGAAGCCCAGACGCCCAGAAGTCTGGGCCCAGACTTCTGGGCTTATGGGCCCAGTTGATTTTTTTTCTTTTTTATTTAATATTTAATTTAAAATTAATTTCTAATTTTATTATTTAATATTAATTATAGTTTAATTTTGACTTGAATTTTTAATTATTTATTTAATATTTAATTTAAATAAACTATTAAATATTCGTTTGTTTATTTAATATTCTATTAATTATAATTAATATTATAAAT